GGTCCTACATTTAGGTTTGCAAAAATCCATTGCACAAGTACAGGCCTGATTTGGAAGCATGTTGTGTGGGGAAAAAATGGGCTTGTAAAATGACCACCAAGATTAACATAAGTAAGCAGTCTCATAAGGCTGATAAAAAATGCAAACACAACTTCGTTTGGGTTGTCGTTCGATGCCCTCTAACTCCGTCTTCACAGTGCCCCTATAGACAGCAGAAGGAAATACTGCCTGATCCTGAGCCGGCCTCACAAATCATTGTGATAGTTGAGCCCCTTGCTGCAGCCACTGGGTCACTCTATCTTGTCGAGGTCTTCTTTTTCGTGGACCCTCTATTTCACCACACGTGATGTCCTTTCCCAAGGACTGTTCTCTCCTGATAACATGTCCAAAGCACATGAGATAAAAGTCTCGCCAGCCTCGATTCCAAATGGCATTCTGCCTGGACGTCTTCCAAGACAGACTTGTGTGCTCTTTTGGCAGTCCATGGTTCTTTGCGTATTTTTCACCAGTACCATAACTCAATTGCATCAATGCAGCAATGTGGTCTTCCTTACTCACTGTCCAACTTTCACATAACGTAGGAGGCAATTGAAAATACCATGGCTTCGGTCAGGTAAGGGGCCCTGGTGGCGTAGTGGTAGGCTGTGATCCTCAAGGTTGGTAGTTCGAAATCACCAGCTGCTCCTCGGGAGAAAGACTGGGTTTTGTACCTCCATTAACAGTTACAGTCTAGGAAACTCACAGGGCCAGTTCCGCCCTGTTCTATAGGGTCACTATGAGTCAGCATGAACTTGATTGGCATTGAGTTTTTGGATCAGATCCACCTTAGTCCTCAAAGTGCTTGTCAACACTTTCAGGAGGTCTTAGGCAGGAGATTTATCCAATAGAGTGTGCCGTTTGATCTCTTGACTACTGCTTCAATGAGCATTGCTGGTAGACCCAAAAGAAAATTCTTGACAGCTTCTAGTTTTTGCTCCATTTATGAAGGTACTTTATGAGTCGCCCTGGTGGTGTAGGGGGTTACGTTTGGGGCTACTAAGCAGAAAGTCAGCCGTTCAACACACCAGCCACTCTAGGGGAGAAAGCTGAAGCTTTCTGCTTGAGAGAGCCACAGGGCCGGTTCAATTCTCTCTGCCAGGGCTGTTAGGAGTCAGATTGCACTTGGTGGCAGTGAGTGAGTCATGCTTAGTTAAAATGGTCACATTTTTAAAGTATCTTTTATCCATACTTTTCTTTTATGAAACCCTGGTGATAGAATGGGTTAAGAATTAGGCTGCTAGCCACAAGGTCAGCAGCTTAAAAGCGCCAACCACTCTGTGAGAGAAAGAGGGGCTTTTGACGCCTGTAAAGATTTACAGGGACAGTTCTACTCCATCCTTTAGGGGCGCTGCAACCCAGGGACAGTGAGGTTTTTTTTTTTCCTTTCCATTCCCCCTACTAGGTATTCTCAACTCAAAGATGAAAGAGCCCTGGTGGTAAAATGGTTACATGTGGGCTGTGATCCCCAAGATCAGCAGTTCGAAACCACCAGGGGCTCCATAGGAGAAAGACAGGGCTTTCTCCTCTCTTTGACAGCTACAGTCTTGGAAAGATTTGGTGATCTGCTTCCACAAAGATTACAACCTAGGAAATTCTGTAAGGCAATTCGACTCAGTCCTATAGACTAGCTGAGTCAGCACATAACACCACCATACTGAACAGAGTAGGAGTCTATTCGCACTTTAATTACTCCAACATGATGGGTGAGTGCTATGGAGTCCGTTCTGACTCGGGCAACTCTGTGTTTCAGAGTGGTATTGTCCCAGAGGAGTCGCTTGGCTATAATCTTTAAGGAACCAGATGGCCAGGCC